TCGCTAGCTGCCTGAAAAAAGCCAATTTTCTCCCTACAGATTCGAGTTTAGCTACAGTCTAAGAACATATTCGGAATCAGCAAAATTTGGGCTATCTACTACTATCAAAATATTTTCCCTTATGTATCCAAGTCAAAAAACATTTTTATGTTTTTCCAAAATGTGTACACAGTACAAAGAGTTTCCCCAGCTCGTAGAACCTTCATCTTTTGCCGAAAGGGGGTTTATGACCACCTTTATCTATGGTATTAGCGCAAAGTAGCGCAACTTTAACTGCATTCCTGGGGACATTTTCCAATAGCCCTCGGGTTTTTGAGGTAAAACTAACTTTTCTCCTTTAAAAAAACACTTTTTTCTGCATAAGCTGTACACATTCGGAATCAGCGTGAAAAACGGCATCGAATGATGTATAGTTTGTTAGTTTTATAAATAAAACATTTTTTGACAAAAATTCAGGGCAAGGGTTTCTCTAAGGAACTTTTTGTCGAAAAAGCTTTTTTTTCGAATTCGACCTTTTTTACTTCTACTAATATCTGATACATAGTAAGATGATATTATGCTAAAATAATCATTTTCTAACTCAAAAAATCAGATATTCGGCTGCTCTATGGAAAAATGCCCACTGTTTTCTCTCAAGAGAGCAAAGTTCTTATATACAAAACACCCACAGAGACAGGCGAAAAGTTGTATTTTAAAATATGAAGCACTTCGCCCTCTATAAAACAGAGACATAGTTATTAGTAGAATAATTTAAAAAAAAATGATCGGTACTTCGGTGGTCGCTATCTGCCTAATTTTTGGCCACTTGTATTTGTTCACATTGACGTAAACTATACCGTTAGCTTGGTCTCCCACCGCAACTACACAACTTCTCCAACCAACTACATACACACTCTGCTCTTGTCATTTTATAGATTCTAATTCCATCAACAACAATGTAACCGCTACGAACTTATCAGATGGCTATCATTGTAAATATCCAGATGGTCCATTTTATATATTAATTTCATCACTTGTCAGCTTTTATATACCATTAACTCTAATGTTATATGTCTATATACGTATTTATATAATTGTACGTAGACAATTACGTTCAGTATATACGGGATTTATTGTACCAAAAACACATTCATTGACACATTCTTATATACCAAAATTTCATCTCACTACGAAACCGTTACAACGGATTGTAGAGATTACCACCACCAGCATTAGTAGTACTGCTGCAGGACCACCACTGATACTAACCACTGCAAAGGAACATCATACACGTCAAGATTTAATGTTAAGAGTGCACTGTGGCGGTTATCAAAATACAACAACTGAAAGGAAACCTCAAAGTCAGGCTACTCCTAAAAATAGAGTATCATCATTCTTCGGTTATTTTATAAGATATAAAGCAGCAACTTTTTTAAGTTTACTTATTATTGTATTTCTATTATGTTGGCTACCATTTTTTATCTATTTTATATCTAGCGGAGTATTTTTTACAACACAATTAACAAAATCACCATATAAACAAAGACATCTGTTATTGAATAAAATTTTTCTATGGCTAGCTTATACACATTCAGCAATAGATTTTTTTTTATATCCATTAACAAGTAATGAATTGAGAACAGCATTTATTAAATTATTATTTACAAGAAAAAGAAGACTAAAAATAAGAAAATAATATTTTAACAACAATTTTATGAGTGATAAATAACTTATCATTTTTTTGTTGTTATTTTTCTTCATATAGAGCTGAAAGATCGAGCAGAGGAGAGAAGAGATTGTTTTTCTGTTTTTTTAAAAGAAAGTTGAGTACACACAGACTTTAAAAATTTAGATTAGAGATAAGGCGAGAGGAAGAGAATGTCTTTTGTTTTGAAAAGGCTCTGGCTATTTGGCAATACCTAATTAAAACTTAGTTTTTTTTGCAGCAGATGCAGTTCTAATTGTGGCTTCAAATATCGTGATGGGACAGGTCTGAGCCCATTAAAAAATCTGTACACTGTAGAAGAGTGATGTCAATTCAAAGACGGCGACACAGAATTATGCAGACTATGAGAACTTTACACATCGACCTAGTACAGAACAAGCACACCGAAGTTTAACTATGACAACTATGACAACTATGAGAACCATGAGAACATTGAGAACAATGAATTGTAAAGGTAAATTCTTATTTCTAATCACTCTGGTATTATGGCTTGGCGAGTGTGTTTGTCAGTCCGCTAATAACTTGCATCTACGCCCTAACACACGGTGCTTATGTAATTACTAACCGGCATATCACACTCCAAAGATTCCCAGACGTCTAAAAATATTTTGAAATTCAAGACAATGCTTACGCCTCCCTTCGGTCGACGCCCGCATCCAGGTTAGCTGAAAAATGTCATAAACTTCTCGCATTCCACGGAAAAAGCGTCCAATGTAACATAAAGCTAAAACCTTTTCTGGACACCCTCTGAAGGTCCCAATGGAAAGCATTCCTAATCGATTCGCCATGTTAGACTATCTATATTCTCTAACTTTTACTATTCGTATAAGACTTTTTGTGTTATCAAAACTAACTGATTTCTGGCGCCATCTATCTTCGAACTGCATAGAAACAAAAAAAATATCTCAGCCGGTTTTTCATATTTTGCGCACAGACACACACATGGACGCACAGACAACCATCTTGTAACATCCGAACTAAAGTCAAGGGAATATCATTTTCATGCGATTAAGGTGAGATGAAGTTTTCCATCAATATAATCGATCTCAGAGGTCGCTCGTAGTCATTTTCTGATTCGCTGTAGTCGACCACCCACTCTACATCATTTTCATCCAACGTAGTTGATATGAAAGTTTTGACTAATCGAATCGGTCCCAGAGGTTGCTCATAGTCATTTTCGGATTCCTCATAGTCGACTACCCATTCTGCATCATTTTCGTCCAATCAAGTTTCCACTACTAATTTGTCTGTCGCTAGTATCTAGTCTGCGGACATACAAACATACAACTGATAAGACCCTTTCCTTTAAAGTCAAGGGAATATGTGTGTGCGCGTGATCTTTTAGTATCATACTGACTGCCCTAGAGAACGTACTTGTGCCCAAGTACTTGCGATAAGTACTCCGCCTGCGTAATGAAGGCGGTACTTGTCTTTTTTCCAGAAGTAAATATACTTGTNTTCCACTACTAATTTGTCTGTCGCTAGTATCTAGTCTGCGGACATACAAACATACAACTGATAAGACCCTTTCCTTTAAAGTCAAGGGAATATGTGTGTGCGCGTGATCTTTTAGTATCATACTGACTGCCCTAGAGAACGTACTTGTGCCCAAGTACTTGCGATAAGTACTCCGCCTGCGTAATGAAGGCGGTACTTGTCTTTTTTCCAGAAGTAAATATACTTGTAAGTACTTGTTCAGCGTGCAAGTACTTGATTTGTCACTCGACAAGCACTTGTTCAAGCGCTGGTCAAGTAAAATTGTAAGTGCTTGGATTGGTTTCAGGGTAATACTATTCGAGTGTTTCTCTATTGTCGCTTAATATTCACTTTGTGAACTTACATTATTCTATGTCTGAAGTCAACAAAGAGAACACGTTTTCCTAAGCATAGGTATAGTATTCATGTAAACAGGTAGCGACGAGCGGTCCTAACCTGTCTTATTCAAGCAACTGCTGATTTTAACCCTATTTTTAGTTTAAAGAAGAGTGTTTGTAAGTAGTAAATAAGCAAAACTGACATCTCAGACAAAAAGAGATTGTAAACAAAAGAGTAAGATACAGCTTAACAAATTAAAACAAGAGATAAAACAATAAAATAAATTTTCATAATAATATTATATGTGCATGAAGAAAATGTTGGAATGTCAAAAGTTTTTCTTTTTCACTCTTTCTTTATATAGAAATCGCTACATAAGAGTTCGCCGAGGGGTGATAAAAAAGCCTTTTCTTGCCAAGGACTTTCACAAAGTACTTCTTAGCAATAAAAGCAAGCATTTTTATCGTTAAGAAGTACTTCTGAAAGTACATGGCAAGTGAGAGATTTTGAAAACACTCGGCAATTTCTCCAAGCACTTAGCAAGTAATCAAGTACTTGCATCAAGTACGTTCTCTAGTGTGTAATTCATTTTTTCGTGTCTCTTTTTTCTTTTGTCTATTTCGTCTATTTTATTTTGTTCGTTGTTTTTTCTCTCCTCTAGCTGTGATCACTATTATTCTAGGTCTATATATTACATCGTCTTTAGCTATATCTATTTTTTCCTTTTCTTTTATGTCACATGTCTTTGTTCTTTTGGATATATATATATATATATATATAAGAAAGCATACATTTTGATGTTAGCTGATTTCGAGTGCATAGTGAATACAGAGTTAGTAAGTCGACGGACTAGTTAGTGGTCTCTTTACTTCTTGTTATTCTTGTACATGTATTTTTCAACATTATTTTAAATATATTACATATAGTGAATTGGCACTCAGTTTAATTTAGGATACTGAGAGAGTTTTCTTGTCACATTTAACTAAAGAACCCGGGCTGAAGGACTAGTAGAAGTCAAGAGAAAATTAAGTGATGATAAGTGGGATCCTGGCCAATTAATGGACGTAAGGTTGCATTTTATCGAACATTCTATCATTTATATCGAACGTGCATATCGTAAAGAATATTTTTTTTATACAAAAATATGGAATATTGGAAAAAAAAGTATAAAGTCTCGTTTTAACGACAGCTATGGTATAGCACAAAAAATGTAATATATAAAAAAGCTTCTAATTAATCAGCATTCCAAGTTTATAACATATCTGAAAAGTTACTAGTTTTCGATAACAACAGTTAAACTTAATAATTCCAGATATTTACGTAAAACGTGGCACACCTTGCCTGTACACTCAAAATCAGTCGTTCATTTTTTTTAATCAATGGTATATGATATATGATAATGACTTCAGTCATTGACAAAAGAAAACTGATAAGTAAACAGTAAAAGCGTACCACCTGTTTTCTCTCACTCTTGCCCGAAAACATATCAGTTCCTGTTATTTTGTTTATTAATTTATTATATAAGTTATCCTCACATTATCGTATACTCGAAAACAATGGCACTTTGAAGTGACGAGAAACGAGAATTTATTTTACTTTGATCTTTTTTGTTCTTTCATTGTCTTTCTAACAGAATCATGCTCCATATTAATGATCAATATTTTGACTATTTATTGTCAAACTAAAACCATTAATAAAATAAAAAAAGGTATATAAACAAATACTAATCTGACAACTGAAACTATGCACACTAATTACCTTCAAATATACAAGATGTCACATGCACATAATAATTTTTACACACTTGTAAAATGAAGGCGTTAAGTCCCCTCTTCCCGCCCCGCGGAATAAGATGTTTTCTTCGAAACTGAAGTAACCATGCGCTTCAGTATCTCAAACTGTCTTTCAGAATCCATCTTAGTCTGCCAAAAATTCAATGTTTTTGGAGGTTTATGAAAAAGATTTCTGAAAGTCCTTAAGATCACCTTTTTCTAAGTTTCACATTTTAGTTAAAATTTTCTAGGTTGTCCGTTTTAGTAGACATGCAGCTATGTTGAGCAGAGTGTTCTAATTAGAATAAGATGACCAGAAGGTTTGTACGACTTTGTCTTGCAGAGTTATACTAGTTTTGCGAAAGGCGCTGAACTATAATTACTGATGTGATTATCCCTTAATATAACTCTGTATGTAAATGCAA